TTTTTTTTTTTTTTTTTTTTTTGGGGGGGGGGGGGGGGGTGGGGGGGTCTGGGACTGTTTACAGCATACTGATTAAGGAACTTAAATTGCAAATAACTTATACATTGTAGTTCATACCAAACAAAATAATCATATATGGCTGAACTTACCACAAAATCACCACCATTTATGTAAGTAATAGGTCCTACATATACCGTTGTTTGAAATAGAATCACAAACAGGCTTGTCGTGACAATCAAGAACTCCAGAAGAAGATAAATACGGAATCTGTGGCTTATTTTCGAGAGATAATACCGCAGACGAACATGCTCTTGAATAAGTACCAAAACATCAGATTCTCTTTCCAAAAGCTTCCCGTAGTCATCAAAGTGGATAATTTGCAAATTGCAAACCAAATGGAACAATATGCAAGCTGATAGAAAGATTGCAGTAACATAAGTCCATGACACAACCAAAGCCAGTAAAATAGCAACAGAATGCCACCAAGACTCATGCTGTACATAGAGCATGCGGATGATTTCGCGTGCAGTCTTCATAATGAAACAAGGCACTATCCACAATACAAGTAAGCGGACAGAATCCTGCAAAAATTAAAAAACTAAACTACTATTCCAAGTCATATGTTCATTGGAAATGCTACCATAAAAAGAAGTACGAGTGGAATAACTCATTACCGATAAGAGTTGAATAACTTGGACAACAATAATACGAGCTCGGANTACTATTCCAAGTCATATGTTCATTGGAAATGCTACCATAAAAAGAAGTACGAGTGGTATAACTCATTACCGATAAGAGTTGAATAACTTGGACAACAATAATACGAGCTCGGAACAGAATGCCTTGGTGATTAAATGATAGATCAACAGCAGGACAAGTAAATAGGTACATCACAATCCATCTGAGAAAAGAGTGGTTTAAAAGGAAGGCACTAAAATAACAAGAATGAACATATGGTGGTAAGACACTTCCTGCCAATTTTGTGCTATCCAAGATTAGTTTAATCTTAGGTGTTAAGTGCAGAATAAGAAGTGCAACTGTTTTCTATATGCAAAAGCAAAAATATAAACAAAGGCTGTGAACTAATCAAACAATTTCTATCCCCAATGAATTTCCAATTGCTAAAGCATACTTTCCAATATCGAAATTTTAATGTTTAGTTGCCATGTAAATCAGTTATAGATGATACTTTTTATCAGCTCACATAATCTCCCAGTCAATTGACCAAGAAGGTGGTAATCCTTAAATTAAATCAATTCTATAGTTTTTAGGAGCAAATTTTCAATCATTATGATCATTCACCATCTAAATAATAACAAAGATAACACCTGCATAAATAGAAACATTCATTACGGATGAGCACAAGGAAAGCAACACACACAACACCTGTGAGTACTCCCCAGACACCATCTCCAAAACATCATGTCTTATACATTGTGTTTCTTTCCAATAGGGGGAAAATAAAGAGTATTCAATACAACTCACACAAATTTTCTGATTGTATTCGTTAGCAAACCGCTCAACATGGCCACTGTACCGATCGACAAATAGAAATTTCCTGATACCATACTTTCGCAGATTGTGTGAAAGGCAAAGCAGAGACGCAGCAGCCAAAAAAGCCTGTGAAACAACAACATCTATCTCAAATGCTTTAATTTGATACTCTTCACAATTCGAGCAATCGGATAACACAAGTACAACGACAGGAAGAGACACCCCAATCAGCAGAAACACGACACAAGAAAGCCCAAAGCTGAAAACAGAGGATTGGTTGAAGCCCAGCAGAGTGAGTAATGAGTCTAAGCGTTGAAGGGTTTTATCCAAATGGGTGTCATGATCATCTTCACCGCGATGTTCTTGATTTTCTTGCTGTTGGTGTTGGTGGGTTTGATCTGCGATAAGCAGAGGGCTTTGTTCCTGTTCCTGTTCCTGATCTTGGGGTTTTGATTCCTCAACTTCGACATTGAGATCAGCCATTGATGAGAGCTTAATTTGAGATTAATCTAGAAAGTCCTAACATATTGTATCAATGATATGATATTTTGAGAAGTAGCTTGTCGTAGAAACCATGGCCGTCAAACTCAGATGACAGATCACACACGAAAAACTATAGAATATTGAAAATTTGGTGGTGTGTATTTATCACAACAGCTGTGGGTGATGAAACTTAATGATGGATGGCTCATTATTGAGTTTGATTTTTCAGTAATTCACAAATTTCATATGTTAAATCTCTTTTCAAATTTGTTAAGAGTTAGTTATCTGTGTTTCCATTCTCTAAATCAATTCAAATTACAGTAATTAATCACTGAATTCATAAGAATAATTAATTTAAACTCATTAGACTTCTTTATTATGTTAGATCAATAATGAGATGAAAAAAGAATATTATTTTTGTGTGCGGGTCTAGATTTTTTAATAGAACAATGCTATAAAATTCAAAAGTTGTAATCCAAATACATATCATCCCTTAGATTAGTGGATTCCATTAATTTTTTCAGCGAGATCCACTCATCCAAAGGATGATATGTATTTAGATTTTAATTTTTAGGTTTTATTTGAATTATATATTATTTTTCTTTCTCTCTCTCTCTCTCTATATATATATATAAATAATTTTTTTATTAATGAATTTATTCATCATTAATGAGAAAGACTCACTTATATATAATGAATTACACTTAAATGCATGAAAAAATATATTTAGAGAGAATCTCATTTTATACTCCTTTTTTATGTGTTGAAGTTTCAAATTTTCTTCATTTCTTGCCTTTTTGGTTTTTCTATGAAAAGGTGTGTTATTGTATAATCCCTAGTCAACAACAATGTCGAGTCTCACCAAAATTTGTGATTAAAATTTGGGGTAAATTACACTTTGTAGTTTGTGTTCTATTTTTTTTTAAATTCTCAATTTGTATTACTAGTGTCATAAAATTATAGTAATATGACTCAAATCTAAAAAGTCATCTGGTTGTTGTCCGAAAATGAAACACACCACTTGCAAGTGATATTGACAAGGACTTAATTATAACAAAAAACATTTTGATTTGTAATGCCACTTGCAAGTCGCATGCTTCGTTTTTAAATAGAAAACTGGACAATAATTTGGATCTCACATTGTTACAAATTTATGATATTGAGGGGCATAAGTTAAAATTTTTGAACTTTGAGGGTATGAATTAAAAATTAAAGAATCATTTAAAGTGTAAAATATATTTTCCCTTGCAACTAGTGGGGGAGCCATGTAAGGATTTGGTTGGGCAGTCGCCCCTTTTCGGATCACCTTTGATTAGGA